AAACGTGGATCGCTTCCGTTTTAGATGTGTCAAAATTTCCCCCATTTTCTTTGGTCCAATTGGTCATGATTTCGAGTGCCTTGTTTATGTTCGAATGTCTGGTTGTGCTGCTTCCTCTTGCGGTTAATACAACATTATCTGTGTACATATGTGGAGTAATGCCCCTTATTTTGTTCAGTTCTACTGGAACGGAGTTAATGTAGGCGTTAAAGAGATAGGTGAACAATGGTGAACCTTGTGGTATGCCTCTTTTAATTTTGATAATCCTGGACTTGCTGTTTTGGATTTCGATGTACGCTGCTCTGTTTTGTAGTAGTTTTCTTACGTACTCCAACAGCCTTTTGTTTATTCCCCATTTCTCTAAACTTTTGGTCACAGATGTCGGCGGGATCTTGTCATATGCTTTTGATAGATCACGCGATATTATATCCACATGTGTCTTTTCTTGAAGTGCATCTTGAATAATGTAGTCTAGTTCTTGGAGAATGGTCATGGTTCCTCTGCCTCTCCTGAAACCATGAATTTTGTGTTGCAATTGTTTTTCTATTATCTCTTCCATCTTGTTGGCTACTAAACGTTCTATTGTCTTCCCCATAGTGTTGAGGAGCTTGCTTGCGAAGTCGGTACAGTTTTGCCAGTTTCCATGAGTGGGGGATGACGCCTCAGTTGACTATGTTTTCGGCTAGATCTTTGTACCTGCTCAGAAAGGCTGGTCCTGCATTTATGAGCATTTTATATGTTATTCCATCTGGAACTGGTGTTTTTCCTTTCGGTTTCCGCCATGCCTGTAGTATTTCGCTCGTGCTGAATATAATTTGGTCTGGTTCTTCTTCGGGTGCGGTGATTTTTATTGGTGGTACATTGTGCGGGGGCTCCACTCCTAACAAGTTTTCATATTCTTCAGCCATTTTATCAAGTACTTCTGGCAGCTCTGTGTAGGTTTGGCCGTCCTTACGGAGGATTATCTTTCCTGTGGGATGGTTCTTGTTTATTATGGCTTTTGCTTTTTTCCAGGTCTGTGAGAGGTTGCAGTCATTTATCGATTCAGCGAAGTTTACCCATTTTTCTTTCCTTGCTGATTTGATGGCACGCCTTAGAAGCGCATTGCTTCTTTTTAAATCGACCAGGTTTGTTTTGTTCGGTTTACGTTTAAATCTCTGAAGAGCCGCATTTTTCTTCTTTGTTTGATAACGGACTTCTCTATTGAACCATTTTGGGGTCTCGCGGTTGTGCTGTGGGGCCGACATTGGTATATATTGATTGGCTGCTACCTTGATAGCCTTTGTCAGAGTGGCTGCTTCTTTGTTGTTATTTATTGTGCGGAGGTTGTTTATTAGGAATTCGGAGATGCAAGCCTCGAAATCTATCCAGTTAGCCCTATTCCCCAAGAATATTCTTTTGGCGCGTTTGTCTTGGTTTTTCTTTGCTGGTAGATTGATCATTATTGGATAATGATCGGCACCCTCAGGCTTATTTATAGTATGCCAGGTTAGGAAATCTACCACTCTTTGGTGAGCTATTTATCAGGCCGAGATCTTGTCGACACTCTAACCATTCTTCTAGTGCGCGACCGTTTTTGTTGTTCGTTTTGTCTCCCCATTCTTGGCTTCGTGCGTTCATATCTCCCAGCAGGAGATATGGCGCAGAGGCGTTTTTTATGGCTTCTTTTATAGATTTGAAGTTAATGGGACTAGTTGGATGCACGTAGGCGTTGATTAAAGTCACCTCTTTCGGGATGCCTGGCAGGAAGAGTTTTATGGCTAAAATGTCTTCCCCTTTTTGCGTCGGCACGATCTTGTAGGAAAGGCTTTTGTCCACAAGGAAACCGACCCCCCCAATTTGATACTTTGTGGGATGCAGGACACAATTGTAATTTTTATATGACCGTCTGTGCTTCTTGGGGTCCTTGCCCGCATTTGTTTCTTGAAGACATATGACCAGAGGTTCGTATTTTTGAATCAGAAGGTCTATATACGCAATGTTTCTTTCAAGCCCTTGGATGTTATACTGAATTACTCCGTGATTCCGGTGTTTTATGTTGTTATGTTTAGCTATTATTTGTGTGGATTTCATTTGGTGTTTGTTTGTTTTAATCATGGTCCGATTTGTTTAAGTCTCCATAGGATTTTCGTCATTCGAGTCCTCGCTATCTTCGAAAGGGTCACGTATGTCTTTGTTGCTTTTTTATATTGGGTTTTAAGAGCGTTTGCATATTTATTTTCTTCAGCTCCTCTATTTGTGTCCTGGTGCTGGCTGTGATTGTTTGGGTTTTATTTTCTGGGTGTTTGGTTTTCGCTATTTTTTATGCGAAGGCACTGGTTTCCAAGTTTTTCAGGCCCAATCTTGTGGCATATTTTTTTGTTTGTTTTTCCTCTGTGCATGTTGGTATTTCTGAAATATCAGATGATTTTGCTGTGTTTGTTGTGTAATCGTGTTTGTTTAGTAGTTCGATGACGTCGGAGGTTGGTTGCTGATTGGTGTGTTCTGGTTGTGAATTGTTTTTTGGTTTAATTAAATGTGTGGTAGGTAATGTTGTTTGAATTGAGGTTGCTGGTTGTATGTTTTTATTGATTGGTTGAGTGGGCTGGTTGTTCATGATGCCCAAACTTGTGTTTTTTGGGGCATTCTTGTTTTCTGTGATGTTGTTATTTTTGTTACTTGATGTGTCTGTAGTTTTTTTTATCGTCGTTTGTGTTGTTGGATTGTTGTTAGTTTTGTTTGTTTTTTGTGTGGAAATTTGTGCGAAGGTTATGTTTGCATCTATTGCCGTCGGAATGTGCTTCGGGATTTTTTTGTAGGCTTCTCTTTTTGGTATTCTATAATCGGTGGCTATTTTTATTGCCTCCTTCTCCCGTAAGTAGGAGGGACAGTCCCGTGCATTGGCTGGGTGGTTGTCATTATAAGGCGAGTTGGCGCAGTTTGCGCATTTTATTAGACTGCAGATCAGTACATGTTCCTCGGGTGTTTCTGTTTTTTCTTTATTGCATTGTCCGCAAATTGGAGTAGTGATTTTACAGTGTTTGTATTTGTGTCCGAGTCTTTGGCACATACTGCATCTCATAGGTGCCATGTAGTACTTTCTTACTGGCACTATAAGGAAGCCCACTTGGATTTCCTTTGGTGGTTCAAGCCAGTCGAATGTTACCTGGACCAAGCCTGAGTATACTTCCCTTGTGCATCCATCAATTTCAGCCTTTTTTTTATATCTCCAGATTTTTAGAATATTATTTTTTTCTTTCAGCCCCTGGAGCACTTCCTCGTCTGACATAGAGATTAAATCTCTACAGAAGAAAGTTCCTCTGCACGTGTTGAGACCTTCATTGCATTCCGCTGTAATCGGTATGTCGCCTAGCTTGTTGAGTTTTATAAAGTTTTCTCCCACGATTTTGTTTGGTACCTCAATCACAAGGTTTCCCTCCCTATTGAAGGTGGGCTTCGCTTAAGCGCTGACACCTTGAATTAATTTGGTAACTAGGAAGATGTTGTACGTTCTGAAGGGGCGCTTTTCATCTTGTGTCTTCACAGTAATGTATCTTATTAATTCATTTGGTCTGCAGTTCGAGTTTATGCCCAGTACTGGGAAATTCATGAAATCATTCGTGATTTCCTGTCGGGACTTCCGTTTTTTCCTGGATATACCTGACCTTTTCAAATACACTATAAAAAAATTTTATATTATATTGAATACGAACAAAGTTTTGCTTTAGAAGGTCTTTTTCACTTTTTATTTTGTGTCAAAATTGACGTTGTCAAAATGGGTTAATATTGTAAATTTGACGTTGTCAAAAATTTGTAATCAAAAAAAAAAATTTTTCTTGAACACACCTCTTTACAAAAATTAGTATTGAACGCACCTATGTTTCAAATTCTGTATTGAACGTATCTTTCATTGTAAATAATGTTTGTTTTTATTATTTTGGTTCAAAAAGTTTTTAATTTTATTTGATATTCAGACACCAATGTGACAATGTTTTTGTGAATCACTATTATTTAAGTAAAATTTAATTGTTTTTGAATATTTTGGCACTTTGTGTAATTTTATATTAATAATTTTTGTATGTCTATAGCACGCTAAGTTTTTCTACGTCTATAGCACGCTGGTAACCGCCGCCGCGGCACCCTTTTATTCTATACAATTTCAAATTATGCCAGGGATTTTTGCCTGTGACATAAATTGAATGTTAACCGCCGATTTAGAGTTTTTGTTTTTGAGTAATTGATACTGTAAATACTAATAATTACTAAGCACGTCTTTTCGCTTTAAGTTAACACGATAGATTGTGTGAAATAAATGGGTTCAATCTTGAAACCCTTATTTTAGACAATTTGATTTCTTTGAAGCCTTTTGAGACAGTTGGGATTTTTTACCAAATTTTCCACGACACAGACTTTTAGAGATGCAAAACTGAGGTTAAAAGAAATAATTCCATGAAATACATAAGGTTTCTTTGCAAAATCTGCCGATGGTTAGACTAGTATATAAGTGAAATAGATTCTCAAATTTATAGCAAATTTAAAAACTTTCGAACTTGATTAAAGTGAACGATTTAAAAATTTCTTTTGGTTCCAGTACAACAAGCTGTAATATACCCTATAGGTGTGGTTTGCACAGGTACAAGTTTATGGGACTTAATATCCTTTGGCAGCATACGTTTGCCTCTTTTCAGCTTTTTAAATTTTTTTTATGTCTCATACTAAATGTACGCAATATTTGAAATATTTTCGTGTATGAATTAAAGTAATTTTAATAATTTAGTATGTAAATTGTTTTCAAAGGCAGTATTTTCACTTATTGAAGGGAAAAATGCTACATTACAAACCAATGGTTTGATCCAATTTTTGAAAAGACAATGCCGCAATATTTAGATCTTTTATTTCATACAACCAACTTTTCATTCTTGTATTTTTTATATTTGCATAAATTAGTACATATCCTCGTAAGTTTTACTTTTTTAAATTATTTATAGTTGCCTATTTAGAACATAATTTTTGCAAACCAGTGCATTTCTGTATTTTCTTTACCCATCTGATTTCTTGTACAACTCTTTAAGTATTAATTTTTGAATTTTTGTTCTTATTTTCAGTTTTTTTGGTGGTGTTAAAAGCTTCATGAAAGGGTGCAAACTCATTAAATAAAAGTGATCATCATCATGACGTGCAACATTTACTCCAGAATTGATGTCTTCAACAGGAGTATGCAAATTACCATTATTGTGGTCTAATGGCAAATTAAAATCTCTTGAAATTGATGTTAATAATATATCCTTTACTGAAGTATTGCAATTTTGTGGAATTTTATTTCTCGATAAATCTAAAGTTTCATCAATTTTTTCTATTTGTTTGGATTTTTTGAAGGTATTTGAAGACTCTGTTGCAAATGCTGCACATGAGAGTAAATTATTGTTGACTGATATATTGCCACCTTCTTTTAATTCATTTGAAAGTTCTTGCTGCTTTCTTTTATAGCTTACACTATGTGTTTCTGAATCATCCGGATTATCATCAGACCCTTCTGCAAAATTTGAAACTATAACATCATGTATATCAGGTTCAACAACACATTCTTCATTATATCCATTTAAAGCGTCATCGCAAGGTTGAGACGCGCCTCCATAATTTACACCACGTTGACGCATATGATTAACTAAAATAAAATCGACACAAAATTTAATAAGATATTATTAAATATGTATATATTTTATACATATTTTTTAACATTGATTGTGATTTACGTGCTTGAAAAAAATATACATACATATGTAAATAGGTAAAATAAAATTACGCTATTAACAATTTCTACATTAACTAAACATTCAAATATTTTGTTCATAATGGCATCAATGACATAAACAACAGATAATTGTTAAAAGCTCATTATACTTACCTAAAAATTGTAATGCTAGAAAATGATTCCATTTTGCCTGATGACATTCCGGTTGAAAAGCCAACTGACCATCAGAATTTCTTGGTATACGTTTAAACTCAACACGAAAGTTATCCCTTAAACCTTTCCACTTGGCTTTCAGCAACTTTGCTATATTGAATCGAAAAAAAAATTAAATAAATTCCTATTTTGTAGACAAAAGAACATTACGAAAGCATAAACTAAAAATTTGTTACTAAGTATAGAAATTTCAGATTAACATAAATCAACACTCGTCAAATTTAATAAAATTTTTCGAATTTGTTGGTTTAAAATTTAGAATAAAACAATTCTTGTATTTTTAACTACCTTGAACGAAAGTTTCGGGCTATATTAAGATTCGTAAGAAGTCTAATATGATGATCTTAATAAATACAACCTTTTTCTTAATTTAATTTTATTTAATAAGTATTTATAACCTACGTATACATATGTATATATACATATACATATATTTATTAAGGAATGAACTAACTTCTTTGACAATTTCAAATTACTTAATATTAATAGTATTATTTAAAAAAATTTTATTACTTGCTATAATTCTGCTAATAATTTTTATTAGTGGTTTTAGCTCTTAGCGTAAAGTTGCACTTGATTGTTAGTCAAGTTAAGCTACACATTTCATACCAAAAAAAAAATTTTTTTACATAAGTGTTTTATATGTGCATACATATAAAATAATTATTTTCAGATCACTGTCAAGAAAATTCCAAGAGAACTTATGAATTAATGTACGCGACGTGGTCACAAACATAAAACTACGAAAGGATTCAGTTTATAGAATCTAATATTTCCTTAAGGTTGATCAATCGATTACACTCCTGATCGATTGGAGACTTTGAAAACATTAAATTGATAATAAAACGCAAAGGATTTATAAAAATATAAGTTTACTATGTCTTAACGTACATGTATGTATGTATGTACGTACGTATTACAATAAAAAGTTACCAAAAGCATTTAGAGATTTATCCTTGAACTAATTTCGAATACCAGTAATATGTTACACATATATATGTATGTACATAATGTATGTATTTTTATCAATAATAATGAACATATCGCATTTCAATGCTATATAAGAAACATAAATACGTTCATGTACAATATGTACCTCCTGCAACGCTTCCAAAAATTAACAAAATTTGTTAAACAAAAAAATCCTAAAATTATTGCATAATACTTTTAATAACCGCTACCAAAAGTGAAAATTTATCTTAAAAAAAAGGTTTTTGGTCACCTTTTACCATATTTACTTAAGTTCACAAAAAATTTGATTTAATAGCAAACGCCTGGTAGCGCTACTTCGGCTACAGAAAATTTAGCGCATTAACTAAATGCGCGATATCATATGTCATTGTGTATGTCATTACTGTTTTTTGGTGTCTGATTTGATTCGAGTTGAAAACGTTATATTTGTGCTTCCCACTTTTTCTAATTCAGCTTCAATTGAAGTCCTCGAAGAGTTCTTGAAGATCTTTTTATCAAATCTTCGAAATGCAGATTTTTTTTTTAAAAAATATTTGGGCTATTATTTTTGGCAACACTGCTTTCAATATACATACATACATTTTAATTTTAGTACGTACATGCTAGGTGGGTATCTACTTATTTTGTTTCTCTTTTATCTACTGAATATGCGCCATAAAATCGCGCGCTCACTAAAAGTATAGGGGAAATATAATATACTTTTTTAATGTTAAACCTTTTTTTTTCGTTTTTCTTTCTTTTAACACGCTAAATCGCTTTCAAGTTTCATACACAAATCACGCTAAAACTTTTCTAAAAAAATTATTCTATATTCATTAGCCGCGTTATTTTTTCTGCTGTTAATGTTATTTTGATTTTTTAATATTATTAAGTTCAAAAAGACCATAACACTAAACACATTTTTCTTATTTACCGGGTAACTTATGAATTTTGCTCAATTCTTGCCACGTCTCCTCGAGGAAATACTTATTACAATGATAATTTCTGTTCCAAATAGCAGGTCTTGCTTCGATATCCTTAATAAATTGCTCAATATTCAATACAATTGCTGTTTTAGACGGAGCCATTATTCAAATACTTAAATAACTTATATTTAAAGTATGTTTTTAATTATATTAAAGTTAAAATAGTTCCAATACATGAAAATCCGACAAATGCTTCATTAAAACTTGAAGGAATTTGAAATTTTAAAAAAAAATGTCCGTTGCTATTGCTTTCTGTGGTAAATCAATCTTAAGCAAAAAAAAACAGGCGACCTTATCGCCAACACAATCCTCGCTCGACTAAAGAAGCTAAGGGGAAGCATACATATATAAAAATTACAAAATTTATGATTTTATTTTTTTTTATATAATTTTTATGTACATGTTTTCATATAGAAACGCTTTTCAAATCCAGAGAGAATAGCACATCTAAGCAACAAAAAAATAATTCAAGAATAGGCAGGAACAAAAATATTGCAAATGTTATCATATAATGATAGGATAGTAGAATATGAAATTAGTATGTAATAATAAACAAAACCACAAAACTGCTTAAAATCAAAAACAAGAACAGTGAAAAGCAAAAATAAGAAACGAATGCCACTATACAACGCTCGCATCTGCCCAGCAATAACAAAAAAAATAAAAACAACAAAAATGCAAACTGAATGTGAAACATACGAAGGCGAACAAAAAGGCAAAAGGAACAACATTATATATTGTCACAAAGTAATTTTCCTCTTGATATTTTATATACTTGTATATGTATTTGCTTTACAAATAAAAAATGACTATTCTCAACAACACAATAGCAGAGTTGCCGTTTTGGAATATTTTTTCTAAAATTTAATTATTGGATTATGTTTGAATGAATCTTTCAAATTGGTTTGTTTTCTGAAAAAAATTTTCTTCACAAAATATCATTTGGCTTTTCTTGTAGATATATTTTTTTGGATATTGAGTAAATATAAATTTTTTTATATATGTAATTTACGAAAAGGATTTTTTTTTGGTTTTCAAAACGCAACCATTAAATATTGCGAACTTCTTTAATTTTGAACATTTTCCCGAAAAAAATATAGGAAAAGGTTCTCATTCTGTCAAATATTGAAAAGTTCTTATTCTGTCAAAAATTGACACTTAAATTGTCAAATATTTTACATGTCTCCGACTAGTCACAATACTTATAAGTCATATGCTATAACAAGTTTGAAAAAACTACAAAAATATATGTGAAATGAATTTTTTTTTCTTCGAAGTGGTTTAAAATTTTTTCCTGAGTGGCAACCCTGCTCTATACCTATGTCGACGTTTTTTTATTTTTGTTGTTGGTAAACTTATCTTGTATAACTACCGTGCATGCTCGCTGTAACTCGCTTTTGACTATAAATTGCTAAATATAATTTTGTGTATCCTCTTTTAGTTAATTTTTGCTTCTGATTTCAATATTTCTCTTTACAACTTGGTAAAATTCCTCGTTATTGAAAAAAAATATCAATTTTTATGCACACAAACATATGTACGTGTGTTTGCAAATTTGTTACATAAATTCCTATTTATCTAAACTTAATTATACGTGAGTTATATGTATATATGTACATACATAAACGTATATAAATTAATATTTACGTATTCTTTTATATTTACGATTTGTGTTATTCTAAGTTAAATTATCAAAATTTTATATTGTTTTTATGTATAGTATATTTTTCTGAGAAGGCAATTACTATCAATAACTTCATTTTTACTATGTAAAAATATTTTCCTTTTTTTACTTTATGTTGTTTGACAAAAAATGATTTAAAAATTTTTTTTTGACTTATGATGTTTTGCAAAAGCTTTTCTTTAAACCCAAAGCTGTAAAAATTTTATAATTGATAGTAAGAAAATATTATCGTAAAAATTCTCTTGTTTAAAATAAATATTTGACAATAAATAGCGCTGAATGCTAAATATAATAATAATTATATTATAACATAGTTTACAGGGAAATTAAGTCCGTAAATATTCTAGATTTTAAATTTCACCAAAATTATAAAACGTAAACAAATATATGTGGTTTCACATAATTTAAGAGAGAAAAATTTGGAAAACCTGCCAAATTGGTTCGTCTTTATAAACATTTAGAAGAAAACGGAAAGAAAAATTTAAGCTGAGCAACGGCGCTTAACAAATTGTTCAAGAAGAAGAGGGAAATCATATATGAAATATTAATATGGAAAGAAGAATAAGATTACGTACTTTAAACACTCATATAACTTGCAAAATATGTGGAGGCTACTTCATTGATGCAACCACAGTCACTGAATGTTTACATACATGTAAGTCTCGAGAGTATTTAATTTTATATATCGGGAATTTGAATTGAATATTTTTCAAAACAAAGTTTTTATTGAAAAAATTAAACACACAACATAATTTTAGTTTGCAAAAGTTGTTTAGTAAAACACTTGGAAGAAAAGAAAACTTGTCCGACATGCGAGAATGTTATTCATCAGTCACATCCATTGCAATATATAAGTTTTTGTATTAAGTATATAAACTAGTACCGAATCTGCAAGAAAGTGCGTTGATATATTTTGCATTTTAATATGAACTTTTTGAAAAGAAATATTTCTTTTTAGATGAAATGAAGAGGGAAAGAGATTTTTATAGAAGTCGTAATATAGCTTGTCCAAAAGATTTACTACAGAATCATGAAGATGATGATGACAAGGTTAATGAAGCACATGCTGAATCCGGCTATCATAGTTTAGATGAGCTAGTTAATGTTTGTTTAGAGTGTAGTAGTAACAATTTAAAAAATTTGCAATGAAGGTTTTCTAGGTGTAGTTCTCAATCAACTATCACTCATTTAAAGAAATTTTTAGCAAAAAAAAGTTTTAAATGGAATAGAAAAATATAGAGAGGTATAAATCTTTTTCAATATCAAAATAGGCATAACAAATCTCAATGACCAATGATTTGAGACCTTGAAAACGTGAAAGTATGTGAATTAAAATTAGCACTTTGTGCAGAAAATCGCGAATATATATATGTACGCATTTAAATTTATTGTCAAGTTTTATTTTAGTTAAAATAAATTTAAGGGCTCTTTGAAAATTAATATAATTGAGAATTGACATATTCTGTTTTGCCTAATATTTTGAAATATTTGTGAAATTTCAAATAATTATTTATTTTTTAGATTGATATTTTATGCAATGAAGAACTTTTGGGTAAAAATCATACATTAAAATTTGTATATGTTACCCGACGGCGTTTTTTAAATTGTTTTTAAAAATAAATATAGTGATCAATATAATGTATAACTCAGAATATTAAGGCAAAATAATATAAGTTTAAGATATATTCATGTATATTAATGAATTTAATGTACAAAGTGGTCCGTAACTGGTGTTAAAGCATTCGTGGGGTGATTCCTCAGATACTCGTGTTTTAATCAATTATTTTTGTACCAATAGTAGCATTTTAAATTAAGTTTTTTAATAATCACTTGAAAATAAAAAAAATTACATTAATTTCGTTTAGTTTTACAATTTATATTTTATAATATTAAACATAAAGCTTAAAAAAACAAAATTTTTATTTGCAAATAATAATGTTTTCATTTTGAAAAATAAAAATGCAAATTTTTTGAATGATGAAACGGGTTAGTACGTTTCCAATTTTTATATCTTTCAAAATGTGAGTAATTTAAGGAAGATTTTTTTCGTGCTTTCGTTCTAATTTTGGAATTTTAATTTTTTATATTATTTTGCCAATTTTTTCGAAAACTTTACTTGTTTTTTTTTAGTATAATTATTATAAAACCAATCCATATGTATTTTATTTGAATCTAACAGACTATGTTTGTGCTTGGATTCTATGATTCTTACAATTTATTATACTTTGCTTTTTTATTGACAGCTACATAAACATAAATTACTTTGTGTGCATTTATTTTGTGGTCGTTTATACCTCACTAAAAAATATGGGAAAATATTAATAAAAAGTTAGAATACGTACACATACATAAGTGTGAATGTAATAAAGGCATTAAAATTGTAAAACTTACATATTTTAAAAGCTTTTTAAGTATGAAATCCCTTTTGTTTTTTAAAATGGATATGTATGCAAATAAAATACATATGGACGTGTCTAATTTATAGCTTAAATTTGTTGGTCATTTAGTGAATATGTAGATAAACACATACATATACACTAAACGATCAGTAAAATAAAATTTGAAGAAAAAAAATCAATATGAAATGTGTTTAACACATACATTTGGTTTGACACGAAACCGCGCAAATATAAACATGTTGCAAATAAAATTATTAGAACATGTTTATAATTTGTTGACAGAAGATTTAGTATGTCAAAATATTTTTATTTTAGTGTTCAGTGTGGACATATATTGTAAAGTAAAAACGCAGTATTATATATGAAAGCGTTAAAAAATATGGCCCAAATTATTAAGCTGATTATACTCAAAACATATATTTTATAGTTGGTATTGATTATGATACAAATTCTCCAGGTGTGAATATCAATACTTGACAATAGATAGCGCTGAGCGCTGCACGTCATATTGGAAAAAAACTTATTAGATTATATTATGAAGATTTGATGGATTTACTTAAGCGGGAAGGAAATTTTTTAGCGGCAAAAACACTTTTTGATTGAAAAAATTAAACTGAGCAACTGCGCTTAACAAATTGTTCAAGAAGAAGAGGGAAATCATATATGAAATATTAATATGGAAAGAAGAATAAGATTACGTACTTTAAACACTCATATAACTTGCAAAATATGTGGAGGCTACTTCATTGATGCAACCACAGTCACTGAATGTTTACATACATGTAAGTCTCGAGAGTATTTAATTTTATATATCGGGAATTTGAATTGAATATTTTTCAAAACAAAGTTTTTATTGAAAAAATTAAACACACAACATAATTTTAGTTTGCAAAAGTTGTTTAGTAAAACACTTGGAAGAAAAGAAAACTTGTCCGACATGCGAGAATGTTATTCATCAGTCACATCCATTGCAATATATAAGTTTTTGTATTAAGTATATAAACTAGTACCGAATCTGCAAGAAAGTGCGTTGATATATTTTGCATTTTAATATGAACTTTTTGAAAAGAAATATTTCTTTTTAGATGAAATGAAGAGGGAAAGAGATTTTTATAGAAGTCGTAATATAGCTTGTCCAAAAGATTTACTACAGAATCATGAAGATGATGATGACAAGGTTAATGAAGCACATGCTGAATCCGGCTATCATAGTTTAGATGA